CTGGCTGTTGAGTTGGGTTATCGGTATGTACTGCCGTTTAGGATTTTATTGGTTTGAATGACAAAATGCAATAAAATGAACACACATCCGAGCAAAGCGGGGATAAATCGCTTGTTTAGAATATTATAGATACTAAAATTATCAGTTTTTAAAAAAAACCTATTGAACGTTTTAGTTGTTAAATTATTTTATATATATCATTAAAATAGTAAATAATCTCAAATCACCAAACAAAATGCAATGCTCTTGCTATATTATATAATATTCCACGTTATATAAATCTACCCTTTTGATAAATATTTGCTGCGCTCGAATTGGTCTCATGAGAAACTATAATACGTAATAGTTAAGCCCATAGTATACTGTGTCGCAAATAGAACAATACATATGCTAACAATAGGCCAATGAAATGCTGTAGTGAAGCCAAATAAACTCAAGCTATATGTCAGATGGCACAGAACTCGAGCAGCACTTCGACTAGTTCTGAGAATGGAGAATGTTCTAATTTCAATAAAATTGGTCATGTTTTGGGTTCATAAAAGTCCTATAGATAAAAGAAGGTATTTTTTTCTAACTTAAAATTTTGGATTACATATTTTTTATGTGAGAAATTAAAAAAAATATATATAAAAAACATCTGGTTTTCGATAACAACGCCATCTACCGCCCACTACATCTATGGTTAACGCTAAAACTAAACAGATGAGTACATACATATACGTTGTAAACAAAAATTATCATCAAAATGGAAAAACCTTTTACGTTTACGGTAACCAAGCAATTATCCATACAACTTGCTTAGTTTCGTATGAAACAAACTTAGTTACATATCAAAATGGCACAGAAGAGTAAAGAGATGAATTAAATTCGTTCACAACTGTACGAGTAATTTGATCGTATATTTTAAGTTTTTTATTCGTCTACAGTTATTATTACTACGGTTTTGTTGGAAGAAAATTTTCTCGAATGTAATAAATTAAGTATCTAGTGCCTGCTAATTTATTGTCTTCAATTATAGCGGTTTAATTATAATAATAATATAATAACAATATGTTGCGATAGTAACACACAGCACCATCTAGTTCCATGATAAGCTACAAGGCTTGTATTACGGATATTAGATAGTTGAATTACTACACTGTATACATAACTTTAAATACATACATATATATTATAAATATAAACACTTATGACTGGAGTAGAAATATTCGTGCTCATCACACAAATGAATGCCCCCAGCGGAACTCGAACCTGTGACCTTTGGCACAGAAAGTAGGGACACTACAAACTGAGCCAAACGTGTCGTCAAAATTAAGAAGATCCTAAAACGTTAAAGTCTATTAAGCTTCAATTCATATTCTACAACGTACAGACTACCGGTATGATCTGACTTTATATCTTCTTCCACCCCTAATTGGAGTAACATGCTCATTAGACAACTTCCTGTCCCTTTCTCTCATATGAGGTGCCTTTCATCTTTCTCACTCTATCAGCACCTTAAGCAGTGAGGTACATTGTTAGCTTAAAAATTTTAACCATAAACTTTCACCTTGACATTTTACATTTACAACTAGGTATAAGGCCTATTTTAAATATTTGTAGCGAAGAGGTGCGTCATGATTCTTATACCTTTACTATCATTGCCCGCGGCTCCGCCCGCGTTCAGATGACTAAAAACCAAATTCTTAGGTTTTACATATTAGTATACTCTTACATGACATTTTTGTATTTTTTCTCAGAAATGAGATATTTTCCCGCGGTAAAAGTATCTTATATGTTGACCCGGATAACCAGCTATCATCATACCAAATTTCATCAAAAACCCTTTAGTGGTTTTTCCGTGATGCGGTAACAGACAGACAGACAGATAGACAGACAAAAAGTCTAAAAACTATAGATTCGGCCTCTGTATCGATGATAATGTTTATTTCAATAAGATTTTCCAAAAAATATGTAATGTACAGATTCGGCTTAGTTACAATTTTATTACATAATATATGTTTAGATGTAATTACAAACTTTCTAACTTGAAATCTAATGATTTATTTTAAGTTTTTTGGAGTATAGCCAAATATATTTTGTCATTGCCACAATACTTTTCTACAGAACCTGCCAAATTAATATTTCAATATTTAAAAATCATCTGTAAAGTTTAACGCTTTCTCTACTTAGGACTGCTTTCTTTTTTTAGGACTTCGAAAATATCTGATTAAGTATCTATTCTAAATGAAAACCCCTGTTTAGTTATTATTTTAAATTTTAGTGCCTGGAAGTCAGTTTTTTTTAAGTTTTCATTTTTTCTATTTTTAGTGTAGACGTAGTAAAAAGTAATTTGTAAGAAGAAAGTTTTTCGATTAAAGAGTTATTTAAAAAAAAAATTATTGTAGATTTTTTTTAAAACCGCTCGACCGATTTCAATAAAATTTATATGGGACGTAAATCCTTTGAAACAAAAAAAAATCCAAATCGGTTCAGGCGTCTTCGAGTAATCCGTGAACATACATAAAAAAAGATTTCGACGAATTGAGAACCTCCTCCTTTTTGGAAATCGGTTAAAAATAAAGTTTTTGTATAAAAAATACTTTATGTAAGAATATTTCCATTTTTTAATGGTGTTTCATATGTTATAACTGATTGAAAAACTGTGTCTTGTCATCACTGTGTGAGTTGTGGATAAGTATATGGCAAAATATATATAGGGTTATAACTATATTTTAATATAATTGAGTAAGACTTCTGGTTATACTTGATAAATTTTAATTTCGCTTACGGAACCCAACATAACTTCTTTACCGATGACATGTAAGAGAGAGAACACAAGCGCCACGCACGGCCAGGAAACGAACAACTAAATATATTTTAGTTTATAAAGACACTTACATACTATATAATAAGTTTATAAGGACAGCTTTAAATTTATTTATTTAACAATATTAATAATTATTAACGACTCTATTGTTAACTTTACATTAAGTTCTTGAATTATAATGTTCATTCATCGCACAAGAATTGAACCCCTGACTAGACCCAAACAGGTGGTAAACTAAAAATAGAACCGGAAAAACTAAAACATTCCTTCACAATAAGAAACTAGAGCCATTAAATGCATGTACTCGTTAGCTCGTCTGAACGCCGACGGCTATCAACAAAGGCATGATAAAAAATGTATCGCGAAGGAAGATTACTAATTCACTGCACCTAAATTGCAGTTACTGGTATTCTTAGCTTATATAAATTAGTTATTTATATAGAAGTTTATCGATACCCAAAAGTTTGATTGGCACGTTCATACAAATAAAAACTTAAAAAACACCCAATTTCAGGCACTAAAATGTAAAAAATAACTAAACGGAGGTTTTCATTTAGAATAGATACCTAATCAGATATTTTCGAAGTCGGTGCCAGCCGATGCAAAACAAATCTAATATACTCGTATTTCGATACGTAAAATACATATTTAACTATTAGATATTCATATCTTAAAATATTGTAGGCTGAATTTCGAGAAATGCTAAAACACGTATTTATTTAATTTAATACTCAGTTTCAAGTAATTCTGATCATTTTTTTGGGTTATATTATAACGTGTTTTCCTGTGGGAATAAGATAATCTCCCGCGATAAAAAGTAGCCTATGTCACTCTCCAACCCTCCGACTATCTCCACATAAAAAAATACGCCAATCCGTTCTTCCGTTTCCACGTGAAAGAAGGACAAACAAACAAATAAACAAATACTCTTTCACATTTATAATATTATATATAGTAATATAGTATATAGTATGTATATAATACTAGACGGATATACAATAAAAAAAAGAAAAATTTTAATTATTCTATGAGGAATCCTAAAAATTCTTTATTGATGTCATTTGTTCCGTATATTGTTTACTCGGTTTTAATGAGTGTCGCTCGTGGCCCGTGGGACCAGTCGCCGGCGTTTGTTGTAGGAACGCGACGTGACAGCCTTTTACGATACACCTACGTCTAACGCAGGCTTACGTTGCTTCTAAAATACCTCTAAATGGTAATAAAATGTAACACTTTGTGATCAAACTTTCTGTATTCTTACTAAGTAATTGGTCTAGTTTAACGGTTTGCATCGTTCTCTTTTATGGCAGTGGTAGCCCAGTGGTAAAGCTTGTGCTTGTTTGGGAAATCGAGTGAAGCGGGTTAAAATCCTGGTTCTCGCACCTCTGATACTTTCATGTGCGAATAATTTCCAATATGTTGCATGGTGAAACCTGTATGTCTGGGAGGACCTAGCAAGTTTTCGAAAAACGTGAAGTCTGATAACTCCTCGTATTGAAGAGAAGCCCGTACCCTACAGGGCCAGGATGCTAAAAAGGCCGAATACAGCGTTTTCTTTTAAGTTTATGATACCTACACTTAACGCCTATGTAAATAATAAAATTATTAACCATTATGTTCATATAATAAAATACAATTATTTTTTTATAACTGCAGCTTTATTTTATGTTTATTGAGTCTTTCTGTTAAGAAAGTCCCAGTAACAGCCCCGAGTTGGGAAGTTGGCGAAGCTTTATCCCCGTGCTTCAGAAAGCACGTAAAGCCGTCGGTCCTGCGCCTTAACTCTCACCGGTCGTGTCGAATTATTGTACCATCGGAATTTGAGAGTAATAGGAATATAGAGTGCACTATAATATCTCCCCGACTCATATACATATTTTATTTTGATTTTCTATATTTTTTTTATTATCTAAAACTTTTGTAAGGTTGTATTTTAAAGAAAATGTATAAAACAGTATAAAATCGATTACTCACTTTGTACTTGAGTTGAAAATATCGAGAAAAGTTTACCTATCTCATTATTATTCTATATACTACTTTGCCATGCCTTGTAAAAGCCTCACTTCTAAACTTTTACTTGTATACAATATTAATTTAAATGTCCAAGTTGTATCTACGTATTATTTTATAAATAATGTCAAACTGAATATTAATATTTTTTTCTCGTTCTTTCCAGATCAAAACCATCCCAATGGGCCCGTCAAAGACTTACATCCTCTTGATCACGATCCACGTCATATATGTGGTCACAGCGCAGGAGGTGGTGCGACGCGTGCCGCAGGGCTTCCTCGGCATGCGCGGGAAAAAGTACTACGAATTGGGAGACAACGACTTTAATAAACGAAAACCTCACTTCTTTGTTGGAGTCAAAGGCAAAAAGGACTATTTGTCTTCGGAGACTGATCTAAAACGAGCGCCAATGGGCTTCATGGGTATGCGGGGTAAGAAGGAGTACATGTACCCTGACTACATGCTCTACCCAGAGAACTATGAATACGTGCCCAAGAAATCCGGCTCTTTGATCGGCCAGATTGATTACTCAACAGAAGAAATGAATGGAAATAACCAAGAATATCCCATTTTAAATGACGTTATCAATGAGTACCTAGAAAAGTTGCGTGCGAGCGAAGTTTCATCGGAGGCGAGTGACACAGAGGATGTAGTATCTAACGAGATGGAAAAACGTGCAAATATACACAGGTTTTTCGGCGTGCGAGGGAAGAAATCCATTCAGAACAAAAGACCATACGATTTATCGTTCAGAGGCAAATTCATTGGTGTGCGTGGGAAGAAGGATGTGAAAAACAGCGGTGCGCAAGAGATAAAGTTTTTGCTGAACGGTCCCTCCTGGTCCAAACGAAGGCTACAAACGGGATTTTTGGGCGTCCGCGGCAAGAAGTGGGCTAACGACGACAATAGCTCAGGTAATTTATAATATCCGAGCTGTTTTTGTTAATTACTAATGGGTATGATGAGATATAATCTTATACATATAATAGTAATTACCCAACTGATGTAGCAGGTTTTGCCGTTTGGAATAAGTACCTATAAAAAAGACTCCGTATAATAATAAAATCTTAGCGTATTTCACTTAACTAAATATTAGATAGATAAATACTTTATCTATACATATAATAAAATTGTAACTCGGCCGAATCTGTACATTAAACATTTTTTGGAAAATCTTACTGAAATAGATATTATTATCGATACAGAGGCCGAATCTATAGTTTTTAGAATTTTTGTCTGTCTGTATGTTACCGCATCACGAGAAAACCACTGGACAGATTTTGATGAAATTCAGTATGATGGAAGCTGGTTATCCGGATCAACATATAGGATACTTTTTATCGCGGGAAAATATCTCATTTCTGAGAAAAAATACAAAAACTGCAATGTAAGAGTATACTAATATGTAAAACCTAAGAATTTGGTTTTTGGTCATCTGAACGAGGGCGGAGCCGCGGGCAATGCTAGTAATGATATAAAACTATTTCATTATTGTTTTATTTTAATTTTACTATTTTTTCTATTACTTCTAATTTACAAGACTGATTAATCAATGGAAGTTTAATATAATATATTAACGTAGTTTATACAAACTAGGTCTATTTGTCAAGGATGACCTTTTCTCGTATTTCGACGCAATAAGTGACATCTAAAATCTGAAAAAATACATAAGACTGTTATGCCCAATTTTTATCTAACATACTAGCGACTAACGCTCTCTTCGCTCGGGTGCATTCCTGTAATACTACATTGTTTTGAAATCTATTGGCTCACGCCAATAAAGCTCCCACTCAGCATGTTTTTTTTGATATCTTCAACAATCATCGTCATATTTTAGCCAATTTACGCAAAACCCTAATAAATTATACACCTAAACCTTCCTCAATCCTCATGAATTACTTCGTCTATTGGTGAAAACTGTATGAAAATCCGTTAAGTAGTTTTCGCGTTCAGACAGATAGACAGATGCGGCGGGTGTACTTTAATTTATAATATACTAGCGGACCCGACAGACGTTGTCCTGTCTACACGTCTTTAATTTGAAAATTTCAAACTTTTTTCAATAATTTTTTTGATGAAAATTATTATTCAAATTGTGAATCTAAACCATTCCCAGATCCCCTTGAACACAAACAAAAAATTTCATCAAAATCGGTCCAGTCGTTTGAGAGAAGTTCAGTGACATACACACTCACAGAAGAATTATATATATAAAGATATAGCGATAGTGATGCATGTATGTACGTGTATATTAAAAACGAATATTTTTAATTACAGAATCGGAACCCGCGAACAGCGACGTGTCGACGCCAAATTAAACCCCGAAGTTCTTCAGTTCCAAGACTAGTCAACTAAACATATCGTAATAAGTGCGTATACTTCCCTCGGAAAGGCTTATTCTAGCGTTGTCATTAGTAACATTTGATCAGTATTAAATATTCCTATTGTAATGTTATAGTTATATGTAGATTTTATTTTGTTAAACGTATCTAGTCTCTATACTTACGAAGTAATGTTAGTTTTGTTTCATACAAATGCTTTAATTATAAAAATTACTAAGTATTTATTTTGTTTTCTTTTTTTATTTTATTTTTTTAATATTTTATTTAATAAATATATTTATTATAATTAAAAAAAATATTTTCTTTAATAGTGACGAAATTTTGGAATAAATACCGAATTTTGGTTAAGTTTTTAAAATTATTAATTTAATTAGTATTGGAAAGATACATTCAATATGGACTTAGTGATTTTTATAATTATCGATCATTTTAAGTATATGTTAATGATCTATTTTTATGAAGATTAATATATAATATTGATGTTAAATAATTTGTTAGACTCATAGCAGTATATTCAAATTGTAACGTTGGATACTTCATAGTGTAACATTTTAATAAAGCTATATGTAGGTGTTCCTGTCGTCGTTCCGAAGGCTGGCGAAGTAACACCAAACAGGTAACAATAAAGGCAGTTGTCAATTTTAAATTTGTTTCATTTTATATGATTTTCTCTGTTTTTAGAAATCACACATGGTAGAAGTGAAACTTCAGAAAAGTACCCTATAAGAGAACCAGATGAATAGGGATTGAGTATCAGAAGTAGGATAATTATAAGGTTTATTTTTCTATAATATTTTTACCAAGTTTAAGAGTTATTTTACATTTTATTTGAAATAAATATACATTTGTCAGCCAATAACAACTGTTATCATGGCAACATGGTAATGTATTCTATCTCATTCTTTCACCGACTTAATAATATATATGTATTTATGTGTTTGTCTCTTTTTAGTGTTGCATTTCCTTTTTATCGAGTTTCAAATCACAATGATTCTAAAGAAGTTTCACTTCAATAACAAATTCTTATCAGCTCTCGCTTTAGTCGGGTGCGTCCCAAGGTGCCTAACTGTGTAATCTATGTGTTACTCCAAGTCTCAACTCAGTCTATACTGTGTACTGAATTTCATCCAAATCCATCCAGCCGATCCAGATTGAAAAAGTAACAAACATACGCCCATACAATAATTTCGCATCTATAACAGTCGTCCTGTTCCTAAGCTATAAGTAAATAAAAAGGAAGTATATAATTAGATTCAGTATTTAATCTGCAAACATTATTTTTGAACCAGTAAACCTTAACGAAATATACTAATAACTACATATATAGTTATTATTTAAGTAAATGATAAATAACATTCGTATACTTTATAAGTTCTATCAGTATTTACTAAAGTTTCAGAAGTTATTAGTTCGATACTTACCTAATAAATTGTAAACGAAATTTTCGCTAATCAGCCAAGGACATTTTGTGGATTTATGTCTCACAAAACTTTATAAAAACACGACTAAGATTGAAACCTGTAGAATATATATAACATCGTTTAGAAAAAAATAGGGTTAAATATACCGTTGTATTTCTCATATTTTTGGCGATAATCATTAAAAAAGGTACCCATTTTGTCACGGAACAGAAGTTCCAGAACCTTCTATTTTATTTACGATATACACCTGATTCTGCATTTTAAAGAGGCATGGGTTAACATTTTGGGATTCACCGAAGTACGGTTTGTAAAACTTTCTAGTACTTAAACTTAGGTACATATTAGGCTAAAACAAAGCTCATATTTTCAGTGAATAAGCACTAATATAGAGATCAATAAGACAATAAAATGCAGTAATATAATGGGGTCTCATCACGAACAAAGAAAAATTAGTTCAAATAAATGTTAATAGATGACGTTACATGTATCAATTTTATTAATAAAGTTCGGTTAAATTAACAAAAAATAAAGAAATAGATCCCAAAAAGTTATAATATTGTTTTATTTTTATTTAATTTTATCATTTATATCAGGCAATATTTACAAAAGGATCTTAAATATGTAAACAGAGGCCTGTAGCATATTATATACCTTAAAACTAAAAAAAAAAAACTTAAAAAAAAATAATGTGTCATATACTATATTCCTTTTAACCGACTTAAAAAGGAGGAGGTTCTCAATTCGGTTTTTTTGTTTGTTATCTCAGAACTCCCGTCATTTATTAACCGATTTGGAAAAATATTTTTTTCTTTGTAAGCGTATACTTTCCGCTTCGTCCTATTTAATAAAAATTTAAGAAACATTAATGAAAATTTAAACTACTTCCAATTGTTTCAATGAAACTATGGGAGTTTGTATTTCAGATGATTGTAGTGATTCGGTATCGTCGAACTGACCTGATGGCAAGGCCAAAAGCTGGAACAGTGGAACTCTTCAACGGCTAATAGTAGATACTTTGGGAGTTTAGTTGGTTTGCTTTGACAAGCTGATTTTAAGTGTCACAAATAAAAGCGAGTTTTAGTTTGTTAAACTTCATATAAAATACTTTCTTCTCACAAATTTGCTTCTACTACGTCTACACTAGAAATGGAATTAAAAACTTAAAAAAACACGACACCCGACTTTCAGACACTAAAAAGTATAAAAGAACTAAACGGCAGTTTTTCCATTTACTATAGACACTTAATATCAAATATTTTCAAAGCCATAGGAATATAGGTGCCAGCCGGCAGAAAAAGGTTTCAACACAATAAAAATACAAAAAAATAATAATTTTCATAATATTTTTTATTAAAACTTCTCCTTATAAATCCATCGCTAACATAAAGAATAGAACGTACAATGAAGCCCATGTCTGTGATACATATTTATATAATAGCAACAACCCTCAACAAACAGACAAACACGCAAACGTGACACGCCGCCATCTTGAACACGCATTTTTCACAAAACCACGGGATATGTTATATTAAAAAAAAAACAAGGTAACCAAAGGTACAAGTTGTACATCAAAATGGCCACGCATCAAAGTTCACGTAAAACTTTCATACAAACTCAATGTAAAAAAATAGCTGTAAAAATACGAGGCCGTTTAACACATGATTTAAAGGGAAGAGGACGAGGAGCAGAATACTAATATATTACTGCAAGCAAATCGTACGCTTTATGAAACAATATTTTACGTTAGTTATTGATAAATCAATATTAGTTGTAAGCCGTCAGAAGATTTTTGAATGAATATATTATAAAAAGTTTGCTTTACAAAGCGTACGCAATATCTGATCGAGACGTACTATTATTTTCATAATTCTCAATTAAATTAACAATATTTTCCATTAATTTAAATTAATGTAAGAAATAAATCACCAAATAAATTTATACAAAAAAAAATGCAATTCAAATTTAAACATACACAATTCAACGTACGCCAATACTTCAGTCCATGGATGAGGGGTAAAAAAATATGGAATATGGATTAATTGGGAAAGCTGTCCCAGTATTAATTATAATTTGTTATTATAACTACTAAATAGATAAATAGGAATTGAAAATATTTTGGTTCAACAAGTTACACTAGTTCCGTGGAGTTTAAGAGCTATCGTACACTTAAAAGAAATCAGTAAATATACACACATAATATCCAAAACAATTATAGAAACAAGCTCAAAAATGTAAATGTCGAATTCAAATTGTGTTTGCAAAAAGCTGTCTTGAATTGATCATGATAAATTAAAAAAAAACACATCTGTAATACTTTGTAATTATAGTATTATAATTTATTTGAATAATTGATTCGTTTTATTAAAAAAGAAAAACAAAAAAGTATAATAATAATCAATCAAATATTGTAAACAAACTGTACGTTAGCTCTTACACTACAAAATATAAGCTACGAATAAATGGTAAGAACAATTTCGACCATAGAATAAGATATTAAAAAAAAAACCAGTTCAACGAAAAGGCATTGAAATACTAAGATTACATTGAATGCTAACTACTTATTATACAAAAATTGTTTATGCAAGTTTTAAATAACCCATTAAATATTATGGTTATTTATGGTTATTCGTCTCTATTAGGTATTTGAGACCCCATCGAATGAACACTGGAAATGACATTATGTGGAAGAATTTAATGCAATCAATTAATTGGATCTAATGCAATTTAATAATTTATACAATTAATTGTATTTCCCATGTACATTGATATTATTAAGAGGTCATTCATATGAATAGATACTAACGTGAAAGCAGTTCTATATACTTATTGAACATGATGTTACACTAGTGTTTGTCCATGACTTCGTTCGTAAATAATACACAATATTATAATTTCTCTTAGGCACAGCTAGCATTTCATAGGTTTTAGACATTTGACTCGGCGCGTCCAATATGACAGTACGACGGTTCTAACAAGGTTTCTTTCTACTGACATTTTAAATTGATTCGCTATTCCATATAAAAAATATTTCATTTTTCACGCTTATATTTAAACCACTTGCAATTTATCACCAAGCTGAATAACTAATGGCGTTTATCTATGCGTAAAAGCTAACTACAATATCCTGACTTCGCTCACGATATTTCATAAGATCGAACTTGGACATATTGTTTATTATTAATTATATAAATGTACAACAAATAAACTATTATGCGATGCAAAGTTACATAAGTATATCCGTCTCGCTCGCACACGCTATTCGTCATATGTCTATCTCCTAATACACGATGTACTCGGAAAAAGCATTAACTTCTCATTGACAGAATAGATCGATACATTGCAATAGACACGAAGATTTGTTTAAAAATATGAATTTAACATTCTTTTTCTAACTTTTTGTCCCTTTTCAACAGTAAAATTATTGACGATGACATACTTATGACGATAGATAAAGTATATGACTTTAGAAAACATACTTTGTCTCATTCTAACGCTGAGCGATATCAAACATTAGAAAGAGACAACTATATATCAGTACTGGACGCATGATATTTTCAAACAAATCTCGTCCTCGCGTATATAATTAGAATAAATGTCAAATATTTGATATTTTAATTTCCATAACCTATTTGAAAAAAAAATGAAAATCTGAACCAAATTAGCTAAAAACAAAAAAAAACATCACAATAAATAAGAGCTTAATATTAAATTATTGTTACAACTGCGTTCTATACACAACCTAAACGACTTCTAGATATTGATCAGTTAATTTAATGATTACCTCGATCCTTAAAAGGACAGACGGACAGACAAACAAAGAATACAAATAAAATAACAAATCTTCCAAGAAATCATTTAATTTTCATTAACTATTTAATTTAAATACCCCTTTAAGTTAGCACAATGACTTGATGTTTTGATAATCATCAATAATTATTTATATATAACCTATAGCTATTACATATTATATATATATATATATATATATATATATAATCAATGTTTCTCAGTTCGTCTGTCACATAATAACTAACTACACGCAACGAATTATTACTTTTTTTTAATATGAAAAATATCTAACACGAGGAACGTTAAGCGGTGATTATGACCTTCGCTCAAAAATAGCAAAACAAAGAAGCTATAATATTTTTTTATGTATGTATATATTAATAGAATCGTGAATTTTCGATATAAATGCAATAAATTTACGCGCCAACACTCCAGCACACCATTCGCCATAGATTAATACTTAATATTAACATATTTTAAATAAAACTATCTTTTCAAATTTTATTTTGATTTTTGGTTCCCGACGTTCCGAAAGGTTTACGGCAATCATGGTCACGGGAGAGACTAAAGGTTTTAGATGTCTCAAAGGCATTAGTTTAGAGCTAAAAATCGAAATAAATCCGCGAAAAAAACCGATAAGATAGTTTAATTTAAAACGTCAAATATTCGCGTAAATCTAAGAAAGTATTATTTAATATTAACAGATTATAAATTTATGTTTAGAAATGTAACTTTTCGATTTTTCAGTACACTCTTTGTAGGTTTTTAAGGCGAATAGTGCACTTACAACAACCTGTCCTGCATACATATTGGCTAGGTCGAAAAATCATTGGTTTTTTTTTTAATTCGAAAATTAATCAATTCGAATCCTAGCTCCTAAAATTGTGCATAATATTGAAAATTTTGTACTTTTCTTTCATATTGAAATTAAATTTCATACTGTTTATTAGCACCTATAAATGAGAAATCTCTAAAGGCACCATTCGCATTTTGAATTTCTAATCAATCATAAAAATTCATAATAAAAATAAATAATATCTAAAACACAGTAGAGATATTGTGAGAAAAAACAAATTTTAAAAGTACGCAACTAAACAAAGACGGAAAAGAAAACTAAATTTAAAAAAACAGCCGCGAACATAAATACAGAGAAAAATTAAAATAAATAAAGTAAAGCTACTTTCAAAACTACTAAAATTAAATCCTCACAATATTTAAACGGTCATATGTCCAACCATAAAAACCAATAACGGGCCGACACTATGCAAAACTGAAACTATCGCCGTCTCGCTCGCACTTGGACCACCACTATACCTATCTCGCTCACACCAACCCAACCAATATGCATACAAGACGAACATCCTCCTAAGCGTTACACCGTCCCGCTCGCACCTACCGCATTGCATATCTCCGTCTCGCTCGTACAATTACAATAATTTCCCACCTAGCCAATATTTATGTATTTCCCATACAAATTCCATACGTTTGGGGTTATTAGATGGCGTTTTGCAATGTGAGGGGATGCGAGTGTCCGTTGTGCGATGCGAAGTCCTGCTTCTCCGCCAGGCGTTCTGTCTGTATGAAGTTAGCGGATATGATGCCAGCGTTGCCGTTGCTCGCGTCCATGGCCGGCTCGAGTTTGGGTGATTGCTCCTCTGGTTTGTCCTTTGTCTGGAATTATATAGTTATTAAAAGTTACATCATTATCGGACTATCATTATAAATAAAGTTTGCATGTGTTGGCGTGTATGGTTGTTAATTGTTGCACCTTCATACTGAATTGGCTGAATGGCTTTTGATGATATCTATACTTATATTATAAAGCTGAAGAGTTTGTTTGGTTGAACGCGCTAATCTCAGGAACTAAGACAAGTGGTAATCATATTGGAGATGTAAAACCTAACATAAGTATATTGTAAACATAATCACCTCGTGTTGTTGGGACAGTCCCAGCAGGTCGGCCGTCACGTTGCCGTTGTTGGTCGGGTTGTTCGTGTTGCTGTTGGTTTGAGGGCCTGCTTCTTGCTTCGAATCGCCCTGGAATTTTATGAAATATTCATAAGATTGGTAAGGATCCAAGTAATGCTGATAAGATTGACAAGATGGCAATCTCTGGAGTACTTGAGAATATTAGTCTATTGATATGTAAATAAGACGTATTCAATCAGATTAACTAAGCTTATCTGTTAAGATACAAAAGTAAAGTTTTAATTAAAATTTAAGTTTAATTTATGATAACAAAAGATAAAGCTTTTTTTAAAATAATACAAATAAAAAAATACTTTTCCAAAAGAATAATATCATTTTCAGAATTTTTTTACCATTTTTTTTAAGAGAAATCTGAATTAAAACCATTTAAATTTCATTAACATCAGACAAGAGAATAGCTTGTGCTTTCTGCTTCATGTATAGTGTTCATATAAAATAAACTTAAAATTAAAAAAAAAAAATACTTAAAAGAATTTAAAATCACCTAAAGTATATATTCTATCTTTGAGGATGAAATTTAATCTTGAAATTAATATGAGTCTTATGCAAATCAAAATAAGCAAAGACATCTCATAATACATGTACATAAAAAAATAATATCTAAATTTAATACCTCCCTTTTTTGAAATCAGTGAAAAACCCATTATAAAATAAAAAAAAATACTCACCTGACTAGTGGCAAGCTGCAACAAGTCCCCGGTTTCCACATTCCCGTTACTGTTATCACAAACACTATTCAACACATTCACATCTTGTGCACTTTCTACCAATTTATTATCACTCGATGCACTATCTTGCACTACATTTGTTGATACTAAAACACTTTCTACTACGGTTGTTGCACTTTCGTTAACTTTCGTTATGTTGGCACTCTCGTTAGCACTCATTAAGTTTGGTGCATTCTCGTTATTTTCTGTCAAGCTTGGTGCGCTTTCGTTAGATTTTCCTACATTAGGTGCACTTTCTTGTTCAACAGTTGTAACTGATGTTGTATTTTGTGGAACAATTGCTGTATTTTCAGATTTAGCACTATTATTTAGGTTACTGTTAGTGTTAGCATTAGTGCTTTCAGATTGGTTTTGTTGCGCTTTCATTTCTTGCTGTTTCTTGTCTTCTTCCGCTTGCTGTGAAAGGATTAAGGATTTATGAAAATAACAATAGTAGCACACCTTTCTAGATAACATTATCACAGATATATTTCATAACTTAATAACCAAATTATTGTGATTTTTGGCTTTAATCTCTGAGTTTAAGAATAAGTATAGTATGTCGATACTAAAAACACTTATTAAGTAATAACTTCAGCATTAGGTGTATGATGATATTCTGGATAGAAATATATTAATTGACGAGTCCTTGAGTATATCGTGTCAAAGCATTTATAATGTAGACGAATATTTTAGAAAAAACTTTAAAATGCATTTTCGTACACCACAGTATACAATATACATACATACAGGTGGTTATGTTGGACTCATCGGCTAGAAAAACCAGTACTACCCACTAAGATCGAACAAAACCTCCCCCGTCTTAATGGGCGTCGCAGGATCGCTTACGCACACGATGCTCTCACCGTCTACTCTACTATCATACAAGTACCAGGAGCTGGGGTTGCCAGCTTTGGCCTTTATATAAAATCTAATAAATCAATACCTTCTTGAGGCGTGTCCTCGCCATTATAGCCTCGACTCTCTGCTTGCGCGCGAGTCTCTCCTTCTCCTCTCTCTCCGCTTCTTCCCGGCGCAGTTTCTCCGCGTCCTCCGCAGCGCGTCTCCTCTCTTCGTCTTCGCGCAACTTCGCTTTCTTCTCTTCTTCTTCTCTGGCGCGACGCTCCGCTTCCTCCTTTTCGAGTTGTTGTTGCGCCTAGAAATATAGGATGTAAAAACTTTATACATGTATTATAAAAAAATCTTGCTCCGAGATTCACTCACATATTTAAGGAAAAACAAAACAAGTTTTTTTTAATCTGTTTAGAATCGTGATAAGAAACTCAAAAACCATCTATGAATAGTAGTTAAAAAAAATCGCAAAATAATGTAGTTTCATTAAAAAGTTAGTATTACATTTTTGCTTAGGACCCTATTGTAAAATTAAAATACACGTTTCACAGAATATATATTTTTTAATATTCATTGAACCATCCAGCATGGAAGGAAGGCTTTTTCAGCTTTTCCTCTTCAAAAAAAAAAATTGAAAAGATCTATGGGCTAACGTAGCTACCTATCGATGCGTGATGCGTCCGAGCTAAGCCGGGTTCACTGGTTTATAATACACTAGCGACTCAACTTCGCTTAGCTCGAGTTTTGTCCTTAGGTATGTATGTTTTAACGGTTAGTATGATATAAATAGACAACGTGCTCATTACACATGAACGAACCTGGAATCGAACTCATGACCGCTGGCACAACAAATAAGGTCACTTACAAACTGAGCGAAACGTGTCGTCAAAAGTTTATATTATATATACATAGGTATGATGAGGAGAAATGACTGTTTCTCAATAAAAACTTTCATCCCCCTTTTCACTTTTTAAGGGATGAATTTCGGAATAAAAGCTCTCATATATCCCTCCCAGGGTCTCAAAATATCTTCATACGAATTTTCATCTAAATCGATTTTTAGTTTATCTATTACAAACATAAATACATTTTTTTCACGGGATAAATCGATGAACGCCGGCTGCACGCACTAAAGTGTCACGTTCCGCCCGAGCGCGGAGCGAGCGATTGAGAGGCACGATCGGCCTAAGTTGTTGATACCACATTGTTACTTGTAATTAAGCTGTGTAATTTAAGTAAAAAATACTTGAATTAACGAGTACAAATAAATGTAAATTTAATGAAAAAATTGTAATTTACAATTAACTCCTTTGTATTATGCAAAATAATGATTATTCAGTGATAATAATTCAATTCATAAAAGTATGCAATTTCTCATCATGTTATCACGTAAAATTATCGTCCGTAAGCCGACTTTACAGAAAACCATTTTTTTCTTTTTATATTATTAGTATTTAGTATACGTTATAAAGAACAACCTCGATGGCCTTCTTCAGCTTCTCCTCGTCCAGGCGGCGCTGCAGCGCGGCGAGTTCCCGCGCTTCTTCTTCTTCACGCCGCTGCCTCTCTTCTTCTTGGCGCTGTCTCTCTAACTCTTCTTCTGCCTCACGCTGTAGTCTGTGGAGAATGGATATTTGGTTGGACATAAAGTTTAGTTTAAATGAATATTTTTTATGTTTAGTTTAAATATATTGGGACATCAACAAGATTTTTCGTCTCTTGTTCTTGTTTAAATTAGAAAAGTGTTACACTTTGTCATTTACATATAAACATTTTTTTTTAACAATTTTTATAAAACGAAACGAGAGAGCGTGTGTGTAACACGCGCTTTAAAAAAACCCTCCCCTTCTGGGGTAATAAATAATAAATAAATATGTTGGGACATTAACGCATAGCACAGTCCAGTTCCATGGTAAGCTAAGAGGCTTGTGTTATGTATACTAGATATTTGATACACTACCATATATAGCTTTAAATACATACATATTGCAAATATAAATATCCATGACTGGGGTAAAAGCATTCGTGCTCATTATACATTAACGAACCGGGAATCGAACCCGCGACCGCTGGCACAACAAGTAAGGTCACTTACAAACTGAGCGAAACGTGTCGTCAAAAGTTTATTTATTTATTTGAAAGACAAAAAATATTTAAATAAATATAAACAAAAAGAAATATAAACTTTACATACACCAATTAAGTTTTCACAGTTTACAAATTCTCAAGGTAGGTATAATGCATGTTAGCTTATTAAAATTAAAGTATATAATAATGACAGGGAAACGATAACGAACAGACAGACATTTCTACTTAAAATTTTGAACTATTATATAGTTATATGAGTAAAATGTGTAGACGGGGTAACAGAATTAATGTCATCCGTAGTTCCGATTTATCCGTCAATCTCCGTAGACTGAGGTCTGTTTTTTGTTCATTAATAATTATTAATAGTGAGTAACGAGTATGAGTATATATATATATGGGTCGTCCACCTCCGGCGCTCTATCTCTGCCTGTCGCTCGAGCTCCTCGCGCGCCCTGCGCCGGCGCTCCGCCAGCGCCGCCTTCGCCTGCTCCTCCGTGGTGATGCGGCGCGCCGACATCGACGCTGCGGGCACAGTACATACACTGTATATGGTGTTAAGGTTGAATATCGCTTGGAGACTTTGGGTGCAATAGAAAGAACGTGTGTCTGCTTCGAACGTGTTTATTAGACTAAACATTTTAAAATGATACAAGTGCAACCGACATACACTATACAGATGAATTACATTCAAGTGTCCGTTTGTGACGTCGAAATAACAGCGTTTCACTACATGCATATGAAATTACTTATAAACGGTACTGAACACACTTTTTTAAATTATTGTCTATCTGTCTGTCGGTTTGTTCCGGATAATCTCTGCGACGGCTGTCTTGATTTTCACGGGACTTTCACTGGAAGATAGCTAATGTTATAGGGTACTTTTATTTTAAAAAAAGAATTAAGGTTCTGCTCAAAAAAATTAAAACGTAGCTAGAGACAAACCCGAGCGAAGCGAGAGTGAGTCGCTAATTTTATTTATAAACATATATTATAGATGTATATTCTTTTACGACACACGACCGATACGATATCCACGACGTTTATGAACCGATTTTAACCATTTATAATCAACATAATGTATGAAAAGTAATGGGTCCATGTAAATTCATAAACAATCTTCTCTAAGGGAGGAATTGATATTAAAATAATTTTAGTTATTGATATCGCAAACTTCAATATTTAATTAACTAGCTTGTTTGTCCAAACAACCAATTTACTGAAAGAATTTTTAATACAAATGACTTTTAAACGTCAACACTTTACTACAAAATACACACTTTACTTTAAAAAAACCTAAAAGGTGTATTTTATCTACCCATGTATAAAAATATTAGAAACAAAACTTTGGTTTCAAAATAGAAGAAAAACTCTCTATTGTAAAGTACAACAAGTATTGGTAGTTTGCACAAATAAGCACTAAGGCAATATATTATCAAAACAATGTCTCACCAGTCATTTCATTCTCTTCAGTCTTCTCTTGCGAGGACTCCTTCTCTCTTTCCTCTCTCTCCGGTTTCTGTGCGTCTGCTGGCTTCTCTTTCTCCTTCTCTTCTCTATGTTGTACCTTTTGTTCGTTGTTCGATTCTAACTTAGCTTCTACTGTTTCTTTTGTTTCGGTTATTTGCTGAAAAAATTGCGACATATTTTTTCAATTAATCAATAAATATAGTTTAATCTATGCATATAACAATATAGGAACAAAGCGAAATGTGTACATGAAATATTTAAAAGAAAACGTTACGTATTGTCTATATGTTCAATAGTAAACCATAACTTAAGAAAAAAAAGGCAAAATGTAATACCCTCTTTGTAAGTTAGTTACATTCTGAATTAGTATGAAAATATAATTAACATTCGTATATTTTCATATACCAATCTCTTTCGTATCTTCTCCATTCAACGTGACATTGGCGAAGTGATCTGTGCTAAACTGGCACGCTTTGAAGCCATTAACAAGAGAATAGTATAATTTCAAATGAATGTTAAATACAATTCGAACGTGTCTCACCTGCCGGTCCTCTATCTGCAAGGCCTCCAACTTCTGCACGACCTCGACGGCGCTCACTTGGCACTTGTCCGTCGCGCCTTGCGACACATTCTGCGGAGGTCAAATATTATTATAATATAAACGTTTTAATGGTTAGTATATATATATATATATATATATATATATATATATATATATGTATATATGTATATATATATATACATATATTTATAATAAATATATAAAATAAATATGTTGGGACATTAACACGGTACCATCTAGTTCCATGGTTAGCTACAAGGCCTGAGTTATGGATACTAGATAGTTCATACACTACACGTACACATATATAGCTTTAAATATATACATATTATAAATATAAACAAACACACTCGGCTCACCTTGCCGTCCCTGTCCGCGCACACGTCCGCGGCGGGCGACCGCGCGCGCCCCGGCGACGCCGACAGGGACTTGCCCGCGTTCTGGTGTACAAAATTAAAGTTTTATAATAAATATTTGATTGTATTGCTTTAATTTACAATAAAAAAACCGACTTCCAGACACTAAAATGTAAAAAATAACTAAACGGGGATTTTCATTTAGAATAGATACCTAAGCAAAAAAAAAAATCCAAATCGGTTCAGGCGTTTTCGAGTAATCGGTGGACATACATAAAAAAAAAGATTCCGACTAATTGAGAACCTCCTCCTTTTTGAAAATCGGTTACTAATTACAAATGTTATGTTTAATTAAATATACAAAACAAATGCACACTTAATTTTTACTGCAGTCATGTCCGCGTGGAATAGTGGCAAAAAGGCTAGCCGCATTCCCCCGCTGAATGGCAATGCCGATTTTTTGGGCGAAACGGAAAAATGAACCAGCCCTGCTGTCACCAGTAGATGCGATAAGACGAAGTGTTATGGTCTTTTAATCATTAATATAATAAATTATATGAGCTATATTACTATAAAGTTTCAATAAAATCCATTCAGTAGTTTTTGCGTGAAAAAGTAACAAACATCCATACACCTGTACATCCAGACATCCATACATCTTAACAAACTTTCGCATTTGTAACATTAATAGGATTCATGTTATAAATTAATTATAAAATGTAAATAAAAAATTATTATAATACTTAGCAATATTTTAAATTAGATCGCAGAATAATCGCGCGTCCATATACATATGTATATTTAGAAAAAAAAAATCTAACACAAAAAGATTAACACAACGGCTTTGCTGGGCATTTTCTTTTTTTTTTTTTTTGTGAAATCGTTTTTTCAGAAAAAAAATACACCTATACAGATAAACTTAGAAAGCAAAACCTTAACTAAATACAAAATTTGATTCAAACCGTTAGAACCTTTTTCGAGATACAAGAAATAAAGTACATAAATAATAAATATGTATATTATACATCATATATATATAGTAACCAAACCCTCAAAATATAAAACTTCAAAATTAAATATTAGGTATAATTATTGTGGTTAAAAATTTCAAAATAACAATTAACTATTGCAGATATATAACATAAACTTAGTTATTATTAGCAACAAACCTTATCGTGATCTTTGGATGGCTTTGGCTTTCGATGTAGTGGCGGCTTGCCTTCTCCGGGACCCACGGGGGTAGCTGAAAATAAAAAATAGAAATTATATGTACATAAAAAAAGTAAATAAACCAAATATTATATTACTATGCTTAATAATAAAAAAATAACATTTGTGTGTATTGACATACATAGCTTTCTGCATAAAAATAGTTTATAGGTCATCTGTTACGTGAGGCAGTGGTAGCCCAGTGGTAACGCCCTCGTTTGGGAATCGCAGTGAAGCGGGTTCAAATCGCAGCTCTGATATTTTCATGTGCGAATCATTTCCAACATGATATCACTTGCATTACGGTGAATGAAAATATCGTGAGCAAATCTGTCTGAGGAAACCTAGCAAGTTTTCGAAAGACACGCTCAGTCCGCCAACTTGGCCAGCGTGGTGGACTATGGCCTGATCCCCCTCGTACTGAAGGGAGGCCCGCGCCCAGCTGTGCACGTTCTCTCTTTCTAGAGAGTGGCCAATTTCATAAGAGTATTTATGGACCCAGTTATGCAAAAAACAGCCATGTGCGTAAAAGTACCAACAGAGTTATAAGCATTTTTCTGTCGATAGTTGCACTTGGGTTGTGTTTTGTTTTTCTGGTTGTTTTAAAATTGAACAATATTTATATAAGTATTGTTTATTTTTTATAATTATTTTATTTTTTATAATAAAATGCTTATAACTTTGTCGGTACTTTTACGCACATGGCTGTTTTTTGCATAACTGGGTCCTTGTATGGTCAGTCGAAACGGTCATGTGAAAGGTGTACGAGTGACACTCACAGTGCTGCGGGCGCGGCGGCGCGTGCAGCGACAGCGGGCGCGGGCGGCGCGGCGCGGGCGCCGGCCGGCTCGCCACTGTGGTGGCGTCGCGCGACACCGACGGCGTCGTCGCCAGACTGTTGGCGCCCGTGTCCGAGCCTGGGTGGGATAAAAAATCTAAATATACTTTATTCATATAGACTTTTACGACCAGTTTTGAATCGTCACTTTTTATATTATTAAAATTTAAATTAAATGTCAGTATGTAAGTCCGTGAAGAATCTATCACCGGCTCGGAAGGCAGTTCTGCTGAGAAGAGCCGGCGAGAGACTCAACAGTTGCTGTTTTTAAATATAATAAGTAATAAATTAAAACATATCTATACAAAATTATTGTTATTATCCTGGTGATATACAAACTAATAGTTAACAAAAAGTTTGGTAAAGTTTGGTTTATTTACTTCTTTAGTTTGTGTTAGAGTGAGACCACAATCTACTAATCTATACCGTCGTCTAACGAAGACTACAGGGAGGGGGAGACGCGGATGATATGCACCCGACTGTTGTACTTAATTTTGTATGACATTCAGAAACGATTTAAGGTTACCAGTTGTAACTTGAACATACCACGACATAATTATATTACATTAAGATGCTTTAATTTTGAAACTGGTTACTATGAAAATTGATATTTTTTATATTCAAATCAAAGGCAACACTTACTGCACGGATTTTTTTATGTGGTAATAAAAATATTTTTATGTAAAGAATAGGTAGGTATATAAAATTATAATAATACTAATCATAGAGCTTGAAAAATTTGTTATTTTTATATAATAAACATTTAAGCAATTTTGTAATATTTGCGTCTATTTCGATTGTTACTGACGAATTAAAGATGTTTCTGTTATTTATTCTTATATGCACACTTAATATTTGCTAAATATTCCACAATTCACTTTTATTTAGGTATTTTTTTTAATATTTTTATTATTATATTATTATTTTTATTATATTATATATGAAAGCACACTAAAACTCAGTTTAATTCGTCACCAACAAGATATATGTAGCATAATTTTACATTATATTGCTATAAAGAAGAGTTACGAATTAAAAAGACAGTACAAAGCAAACCGTTATTATCAGACACGTACCTAATCCTTTCATAAAGCACACTCAAATATCAGTCAAAATATATTGGTCGGTAATAACAAATAATACCAGATAATAATCTATATCTAAACATATAATAAAATTGTAACTAAGCCGAATCTGTACATTAAATATTTTTTGGAAAGCCTTATTGAAATAGACATTATTATAGATATAGAGGCAGAATCAATAGTTTTTAGAATTTTTGCCTGTCTGTCTGTTACCGCATCACGGAAAAACCATTGGAGGGATTTGATGAAATTTGGTATGGTGATAGTTGGTTATCATATTGGTCAGCATATACGATAATTTTTACTCCGGGAAAATATCTCATCTCTGAGCTAAAACTTAAAACGTAACTAGGGACAAACCCAAGTGGAGCGAAGGTGAGTCGCTAGTTTACCAAAATTATTTTATATTAGACTACCTTAATAGTTTAAAAACACGTATTTTAATTGTAATTTTTGGAACGAAGTTTATTATCGGCACAGTCTATTCGAATAGACAGCACCAACTCTCTTCATCTATCGCTAATACGCCAGTAACAAAACATGTACCTACCGGATACAAAAAAAGCACAACAAATATTGTATTACAACATGGAACAACAACACGCCATTAACACAGCGTGAAAGGAAAGCACAAAAATACTGATTAGCAAATTAAACACCTATTTTCACGTCACCCAACACGTTTACATTTACTTACATCACGCAGCGTATTGACTTCATGCGTTCCTTTATATACTCCCAGAAACAGAAACGTTATTAATACAGCGTGAAAGCGGTCAAAACAAATCATCTTGCAAACTAGTTTCACGTCAATCATACACTGACTAGCACACAAACACATCACACACAAGTACTTACCTCATTGCGTGTTAATCTCACGCTTTCATTTATTATACACCCAGAAAAAAAAAACAAAAAAAAACAACAACACAGCGTGAAAAGAAAGCGCCAAACAGACAAATTAACAAACAAACACGCTACTTCCACACAACCCACACGCAACATTTACCTCGCGGCGTGTTAACACCCGTACCGGCTATAGATGCGGGGCGCGGCTTGCGCGGGGCGGACGTCGCCCGGCGCACCACGTTGGTGTTCGACATTGCACTGCCCGGCCTCGAACCTGGAGTCGTTTCGCCTGATCTCGTCTCTGTTTGTTTGTTATTTACATATATATATATAATGCAATGACCCCCATCAACATTGTAATGTTGGTAGGGTGGGTGGGAAAAATGGGAGGTTTGGGTTGAGTGAATGTACAGTATGTAGAACACTATATATTAAAATACTATGATATATAACATATGAAATGTTTAAAAAAAGTGATTTTAAAGCGATATATATGTTTGTGTGGAATACGCTTTCTTGGGCGTATATAATTACTATTCGTTATATGTATATGTTACAAAATATAAGCAACTGACATATTATATGAATCATAATTAAATCTATCGCAGATATAGTTTCCTTTTTTTCATATCCCACATCTAGGAGACATCGTAAATTCTCAACCCAAAGCTCTCATTCGTACACAAATAAAAGAATTTGATTAAATAAAAATGAAATATTACTATTTACAAATTAGTCAATAAAAGTTTGTTTGTTTTTATTATATAAAGGTGTATATACATTACATTGCATTAGAATCTGGTTAGTGCCTGTGCTTTTGCGTGTTAGTGTTTTCATTAGGTATTATAATACAATGGAGATAGTTAAAACATTTTTATTTATTATTGTAAAAGACATTAAGTGTAAAATATACTTTTAACATTTGTTAGGTCGCTTTTAGTACGTATTGATATTTAATAATATAAAAAAAAAACTAAATATAATCTTTTAAAAAGATATCATATTGCAAAATATTAAAAAAAAACACATCACTATTTTGCATAAGTACAAATGTTTATAATATATAAATTATAATAGATATGAACATACAAATTAAATAAATAATGTATATTTATATTTGAAAGTAAGGTAAGTAATCATTATAATATTATTGTCGGACATGCCATGTCAATATCATAGATGTAATTTAAAAAATGACATTTTTCTACGGTTAACACATGTCAAATTAAAATTTCAATTTTTTTATCTGTTTAAAACAAAATAAAGAAAGTTTGCTTCCTAAGGGTCCAGCATTCTATTAACTTGACATATCTTTGCTATAATTAATACTGCATATGTAAATGAGATATACATACATAGATGATATGAGTTTTAATTAAAATTATTATGTTGAACTAGATTAAGACCAGTTTTTTTTTAATTAAAATTATTACATAGAGATAGATTAAGACCCATTACTTACCTTTTTTGTAAGTCAAGAAGTTCCATTACCAAAATAGACCGAGAAAAACATACAGAGTGCTAAAAATTATATCATTTTATATTATATTATTCTATAATTAAGATAATTACAATTTCTTTAAATATAAGATATAATTTAAGGAAATAAAAAAATTGTGTTATTTAAACAAATCGCCTTCTTACCCGAATTTGGCGTAATTGTAAAATATTATTATAATTTTTTTATAATTTGCAACACTCTGTATATCAAGAAAAAGATAAAAAAGTTACCTGTTATCCCACGTGTCTTGAAATTTTAATACCAATACCTATACCACAGAAGGGTCAATAGCGAATTTGAATTTTCATTAAAAAATGGGGACTATTATTATGTATCTGAATTATAACGCCTATTATTATAATAATTATTCTATCTTTATTGTTATATACTAAATAAATCATATGGAAAATATTTTTTACATAAAAATTCTATATTAAATGAAGCTTATTTAGCACTTTCACATTAAAACGAATAAATGTTTAATCACAAAGGTGTATTATTAGGTGCACAATTTAATATCTGTAATACATAAAAAGTAAATAAGCGTTTGTTAAATGACGATATTATTATAAGCAGATTGCCATGTTCAAAAACAAAATTATATCTCTCCGATGGTAAAACTATCCTATATAATTAAAAGACGTTATAAAATAACACCTATTTCGTTCGAAGCACCCAAAGCTAAGCCCTCTTCAGTCCAGCGGAGACGAACCAGCAAGCGTCACCCAAAGCTTCGGAACAGTGGCGTTAGGAGCAATGTGTGAAAACAGCACGGTAATTGTAATAGTAGATTTGTATTTACTAAAGAATTTTCTATAATAAACAAATGATTTGTTAAGAAATATTATTGGAAGTCAATTTTAAACATTATCAGTTCAAATTCGTGCTATGTATTTATCGAGATCTTTAATGTTAACCATTATTACGTTTATTATTGTTTAGGAACATTTATAGTAATTTTTTTATTTGTGGTTCAAAATATGGTAATAACAAAGGAAAATGTTGGATATTATACTAATTCACATATTGAAAGCTTGTAAGCTCTATTAAAAGTTAATATAGCGTAAATAACATCTCGGCATATTCTATACAAAAATACACGAATAAATACTAATTTAAATATAATTTTTTTTAATTTATTATTTATTAAATGCGTAAGTTACACAAACCTAAACATTTAAGTATAGAGTTTATACTTTATGTTAAGTATTACCAGACCAATAAATTAATTATCTACCCGTAAAAATAATTATTCTTGAAATTATAGTTTAAAATTGAGATCTTACCGATCTTTTAAAGTTTAAATTTCACTACGCATTCACGTATCTTGTAATTTTCTAATCCATACAGTACGAAAAAATTCTTTCTTAGATTTACGCGAATATTTGATATTTTGAATAAAACTACACATCTTTTGGGATTTTTTCGCTCGTTTCGAATGCTTTACAGCAATCGTGGTCACTGGAAAGACTAAGATTTTAGACGTCTGGTACAGTATCTACCCACAAAATTATACAACGTTTTAGAAATAGAAGTATAGCACCAATTATACCTTAACAATATTTGTTAATTTTAATCATTTTCTTATAATTTCTATAACTGTTATAAGATAATATTACATAATATAATTATTCAACGACCATGATTGCTGTTAAACATTCGAAACATCGGTAACCAAAAAAAAAACTATATAAATTCGCAAAAAAATCCGAAAAGATAGTTTTAGTCAAAACATACAACCCTACTTAAGTCATTATGTAATACATTCAAAAGATTTCAATGCACTGAAACGACACTCGCTAACAAAATATTTAACTTCTTTACTAAAACCCAACATAAATACACTATGAAATATAATAACTGAAAATAGAATTTACTTAAACGTATATTCGTCTTATTTATATTTTCGCAAAAAACACAGCAAATTTCAATTACGATCTTCGATTTATCTCGTCACCATGGCAACGTTCATGACAACAGCCAATAAATCTGTACTCATCATATTACATCATGTTTTTAGACTGAACTATCGAAGGTATAGAATTACATAAAATATGACATAGGGTAGAAAGGGCTATTAATATTACTTACGACACGTTTGGATCAGTTTGTAGTGACCCTACTTGCTGTGCCAGCGGTCGCGGGTTCGAGTCCCGCTGGAGGCATTCATTTGTGTGATGAGCACGAATGTTTGTACTCCAGTCATGAGTGTTTATATTTATAATATGTATGTTTTTAAAGTTTCTATAACGTAAGCTTCGTAGCTTCCCATGAAACTAGATGGTTCTGTGCTAATGCCCTGACATATTTATTTATGTATTTAATATGGTGTGCCATACCAATAGTCCCTACTACGTGTACCCTACTGTAACTGTAAAATAATAAACTAAGCTATAAGAAACTTCGTTCTTTTTATTGATTCAATTTATGTATGACGGAAACTGGAATAAAAAACGCTAAATGATTTATTTCTATAAATAATATATATATATATATATATATATATATATATATATATATATAAGATAATATATATATAATTTTTTTATTTAAAATATACTAACTTATTTACTTATCGGGGGGCACGGCAGTGCCCCCGCCAAGTCGAACGAAAAAGGGCATTTTATTTACTTATTTTATTTTGACCAAGATTTATTATCTATCCAAGGATTCTAAGAATCGTAACAAAACATCTAACGAAATACACCGAGACATTATCTCCACTAACAGCAGCCGACAATCTATACATCTACAGCTTCCTTTACTAGACAAAAATTCGGTATAACCCATCGATCAAAAAAGTACTAAATACACAATCCGCGACAAAATTTGTCCTCACCGAATGAGCGCTCATTTGAACATTTGAGGGCGTTTTTAATTCACAAACATTTTTTTGTAAAAACAACTTTAATAATTGTTTTTAAGGTTCAATTTTCATTGTTGTATATTTATTTTAACTAGAATAATTACTTAAACACAACTTTGCATGGGATTGTGTATCCAGTACTTTTTTGATCGATGGTATAACCTCTTGCTTTTCTCAAGAGGTTATATCGAATCCCCGCCAATCTCAAGTCAAACCACAGACATCTAAATCACCGGCAACCGCTATAAGAAAACCGCGCTATAATCACACATACATATGTAGATAAACAACAGAGCAACCAAACAAACATACGTACGTGATAAATGCTGTGTGGACTGCGACGAGTGTACCGTGGACCGCGGGAGGCGGTCCAGACGCGTCATGGAGTGGGCCCTACCTGGTCGAGCCGGGAGCGTCGGCACCAGGTCGGTGCGGCGACGTGCTACCGACGACCAGAGTTGGGGCGACCGGTCGGGTTCGTCTGGAACCGGGTTAACATCTCACGTTATACTTTCTTAGATTAACGCGAATATGTGACATTTAAAATAAAACAAGGCATCTTATCGGATATTTTCGCGGATTTATTTTGATTTTGAGTCTTTCCCGTGACCATGATTGCTGTAAAGCATTCGAAACATCGGGAACCAAAAATCAAAATAAATTGCGAAAAATTCGATAAGATAATTTTATTTTGAATAAAACTATCTTTTCGGATTTTTTCGCGAATTTAGTTTTGATTTGAATTTATTATGATGTAACATCTATCTACTTAGCATTAATTTCAGTTTACGTATACGAATGCACATTATGACATTAAGGAGGAAATTGTTTTTTTTTAATTTTACTAACGGCTTACAGCAAGAACTCAATCATTATATTGGATTAAGATGTCATTACATTAGATAAAAAAATAGAATCTACAAGGAAACTGTACAAGAAAAACTATATGAATAATATCTAAAACTATGGGTATTTTATTTAAATTATGCTTGGATTTTAAGATTAACAATAACATTTTTATAACTAAGTCGTTTTCGACATTTACAGAATAGCCTCATATTTCATTTAAATGAAACTTAATGATTTAATAAATTTAGATAAAAGCTGTTCATCAAATAAATTATAACCCGACTAAATACAAAAGTGAAATAATTCAACAATTTCATTTATCTACTAGCTGTACCCGCGGCTTCGCCCGCGATCAAACTACTAAAAAAAACAAACCCTTTGTCACACCGACAGCAGCGCCACCTACCGTGTACAATTGTGAATCTAAACCATTCCCAGATCCCCTTGAACACACACAAAAAATTTCATCAAAATCGGTCCAGTCGTTTGAGAGAAGTTCAGTGACATACACACTCACAGAAGAATTATATATATAAAGATGACTTCGTAATTTATTTATATAATATATATTTCCTAAGAATAATTTATGTCCGACAATTAAAAACTCAGATCTAAAACCAAATAAAATATACCTACCGATTACAAGCAAACATGACGTAAACGAGAAAAAATTCAAAGCCAAGAGTAAATTTATTGCGCGCACGTTTTACCATATTCGAAGACAAGGCTACCATTGGCATTGCTTAGACGTTCCAAAGTCGTATAATACGTGTTTTTGCAATTACTTGTGAGATATAAGAATATATATATAGATGTAAGAATGGGAAATTTCTGTCATGGCAATAAAATGTGTCAAAATCTATTTAACTTGGACATACTATAATGTTATGTTATTACTTAGATGATGAAAAGCTTATTGCTTATGGGAAATCATGAAATTAAATTACTTCTTATACATATAATTATATACGTGCGAGTTTATTTTGAACAATATTAAATATTATATATTGATACAATTTTAAATATTATTCTAATTGTTACGAAGAATTTTATAATCAATGAATTTTTTGATGTCTCTAACATATAAAAATTATATTTTTACTGTCTATTTGATTGAAATGGATAAATTAGCTCCTCGTAGGAGATGCTGACCTATGTGGTGGACATCTTGGAAAATGGCCTGGTGCAAATTTTTGGTGACAAACCCCCTGGGTCGTGTTTGTTAATATGTTTTATGGTTTAAAAGATATATTTCGCCTAGAAAAAGAATGAGGAGTCCACCACATAGATCAGGATCTTAGACTATATCTGGTGTGAAACAACAAAAAGTAAAAATATAAAAGATGTAAAAAAGAAAATTATTTTAATACATCAAGTATAAAAATAATTTACTTAATTTAACATAAAAAAGCATAGAAATAGAAAAATGTCTGTATCCTTTATAATACACATTACAAAGATTTAAATATACCTATTAAAAAAATAGTTTTTTTCTTTAATGAAGACGCCATTTTGTCTTTAGAAAATCATCTTAGAGTAAAGTGTGTAAATGGCATAACATTAAGTACTTACGTGTCTAGATTTGCAATAAGTCATACTAATAAGTCGATTTGCATAATTACTTACACAGGCTTGAGAACATGACTCCTTGGCGGCGTGATGGGGAAAAACATTTAAACACTTCATTAAATATTTGAATAACTACCTACTTATCTACAGGAATAGCTCACTTAGCCTATTTGATTTATGGACTAGCGTAACAGTTATTCTATAATAGCGAACAACAAAAATAAATCTATCCCACGGAAACGGTAAATTTATCCGGGATAAAAAGTAGCCTATGTGCTATTCCAAACTATAATCTATCTCTGTGCCAAATTTCATCCAGATCCGTTTAGCCGTTCTAGCGTGATTGAGTTACAAACATCCATCCAAATATCTAAACTTTCACATTTATAATATTGAAGTAAGAAGTAAGATACTAAAAATGAAATGCTGTTTCCGTTGATAGAATAATTCCGTTGATAGAATAGCAAGGAAATAAATTATGAAATTCAGGATACCCAGAAAGTGCTTTACTCTATACAATTTTGGTATGACCTCAAGCACCATAAATAAAATAGTAATGTCAGGTCAGTTAGTATATTGTATTGAAATTAAAAGACAAATATGAAAAAAAACAGTACTTAACAATATTTGAAGCAAAACACCCTAAAATTTTAAAAAATACATACCTTTAGTATCAGTATCGGACGAGTCCAGCTGCAGTGCGGACGCGCGTCTCGTGAGCGGCGCAGACGCGTACATCACATTTGTTGTTGATGCCGCCCTGGAATATGCGATTTTGAAATTAATTTCATACTATTTAATGATTTTAAGGGTTAGTTTTGCATATCACAATGCTTTTAACTTCATTCAGTGTTAATTTAAAAAAAAAAATTTTGGTTATCATAAAAATAATAAATTAGAAATAAATGTTCCATAAATAATAATGATTGGGGCATTAGCTTATTTAATTATTAATTAATTATAAAAAAATATATTAGGCTTATCATGATTAGGTCACGAGTTCATACTAAATGTGCTATGTATGGAAATGCTAGGTTAGGTCCGGGTAAGATAACCCGCTTTAGGTTTTAGGGACCGATAAAAAACGTGCTTAGTCCTAAAATGATAAGCAAAATCTCTTTTGTCAAGATATTTCACCAAATAAGAATTCGCATCATAAAATTTAAATTCCTCATTGAATAAAGCTATATAATTGAGTGTACATAAAACGTAGCGGGAGATTACAAAATGCTTATCTACCATGCTAATATTGAAATAATGTGTATAGCCTAAAATTCAGCATGTTTTACTCTATGCGGGAATCGAACCCGTGCTCTCCGACAAATCCTCGTTAGTCGAAAACATGCCATATTAAGCCAAAAGTCATCGTTTTGTATATAAATATAAAATTGTTATTATTTAACAATTTTATATTTCTAACATCTAGGTGCTTTCTATGACAACCAAAATATTATTATAATAAGTACAGTAAAAGAAAAAAGTGAAGTAAAATATGCAATTTATGAAATGAATATTTAATGAAGGAAACTGTGGTTAAAAACATACGGCTATATGAGGATAGAGTTACTTTGCAAATAATACTTTTTGTTTGGTTAGTGACAGACGTTCACAAACACTCACATTCTATATACATTGACAAGTTTCTGTTGAACAAGGTTATATATTATCATATTTGAATATTTCTACAGCTGTAATTAAGTCTACATCGCTACAAATTAATTATACGAGTATTTACAATATAAACAATGTATTAAACAATAATTTATTAACATGAGGGTTTTCGATACTTTTCTGACACCAGATGTCGCTACGTCGGTGTCTGGTCTAAACAACTATCAAGATTGTCAAATTGGACGAGTTTTCGGTACTATGATAAATTGCTAACTCATATAATCATCCGCCGTGAAGTGGCTTTTACAGACGAGGCTATTTTTCGTTGGGAGTAAATTTGGGTCTGACAATGTGTTTTAATAGGGTTTTATCTCTAGGCACTGCACAACACTGTAATATTTTATCAAATAATATTTCTCTGTAAATGATTTCAAAGATAACTAAATGAAAAAAATAATCGTAAAGGTGCTCATCTATTTTGACAGATGATTAGACCTTAGGCTACAGTGCTGCCACCTCGTGGTATCTCATTATAGAAAACCCTTTTTGAGCCTTCATTGCCTATATTTTTAATTTTTGCGTGAATTCAATCAAACAAATTCAAATCTTGAGTGAATTTTGGGACACTAACATAATACAGTGATGGTATTATGGTATAAGTACCTATTACATAACTAGGAAACTTTTTACAACAGACTATTGCCCGATTTCACCAACGTCACCTAAATTTAAGGGATCCCCCTAAGCATGGTTAGGAGGCTGTTAGGGGAAAGTTTCTATTTCACCGACAGTTAGGGGTCACCTAAATATTAAAAGGTCCCTTAAATTTAGGTGCTCGAAATATGGGCTTAAAGACGATCGTATAACGAAATTTAATTTCGGGGCTAGTTTATGGGTTGTTGGTGAAATCGGGCATATATCACTCTGGATCCCCATGAATACCGATTTATAAAAACAAGCCCATGAAAATCTGCGACGAATAACCTATTTCTATACAAAAACATCACATCATCATTCTCCATTACTATGTGAAAGACAAACCAACAAACAAATTTTCGCATTATTAGTTACGAAAACTATAAAAGCAAAATATACTTATTATTTGCTTTAGTTATAATTTATTACTAGGTACTCTAAATAATCATAAAACAATTATAGTACGCTAGGTCCGCTGTGACAATTTATTGGACGACTTTTTACCTCAATTTGGAGTTTAAATTAATAAATAACATACCATATTTACTTTGCATTGCAGATAAGTTCCAAATGCTAAATCACGACCAGTGCTGCGTAAGATACAATAACTAGGTCTTCCAAACAAATGAGCTCCTTTGTTAACCGACTATAAACAGGAGGATGTTATCAATTTGCCGGATTCTTTTGTATGTTTGTATATTGTTAAGTAATATAGAAGAAGTAGAAAAATGGTTGAAGACGATGTTTTAAAATTGATTGATTATTTTCATATTTCCTAAATATATGGTAAATTCATAGATTATAAGAAACTATAACAATAATATGTAATTCATCCTCTTTAATATTCTATAACTGAGCACGGTTCGGTTTTTTTGATTTTTTTTGATTTGATGGTCATTATGCTATAGTCCACTACGGGAAGTCTTGTTTGGAATAAATTCTAACATATAATCCAAGATAACATACTAAGGTTTTTTGATTTAATTTTGATATAGCTATCTTTTCAAATACATACAAACAACGCCAGTCGACATCACAAGTATGTACTTATTAAAAAAAAAAAACAAAAAATCTGATTTAAACCTTATGTTTTATCTGTCGCAATGTTTCATGTTAAAATTCGCTACGTTTTAATTCTATTGTTTTCCGAACAATGGTCTCGTTTTGGGCATTACGGCATAGGAAGGACTTGCTTTTGTTATTATTTATTAGGTTATTTGATGAACTTTGCATATTTACGATCTCTGTACAAAGATTATATATACCATTTAACAAAAAATCTTAAAATCATCACTATGAGTGAACTAGGTACAAAGAACAAACGCAAAGACAATTGTGAAAATTTATTCCTAAGAATATGAAAATAATTATAGGCAAATCTACGAGTATATATAAATAGGCAAAGGCCAAACGGTTCATTACCTTTTTCTCCTCTGTTTGTCAACCGTTTTTTTTTGTTTATTTACTATTGCCGAGCTTTAATTCAATTAAAAAAAAAATTATATAGATTCTATTCATTAGATGTTTTCTTCGAATTTTCAATAACGACTATGTTCGAATTTCGACCACTAGGCGAACACTATTTATAAATAAAAACCCGATTTCTCTTTAAAAAATAGTATTAGCCTAAAATCATATTTACCTTTTCGATTTACATATGAATGTTACGCTTAAATCATAATTTTTTTAATGGTAAAGCAAATAATAAAAGTCGGTCAAGTGCTAGTCGAATTCGGACATGTAGGGTTCCGTACCGTCGTATATGTACTTTTTATTAATATGACTTTTACTCTATATATGTGGTAGGTATATTAACTTCGATGAACGTAAAAAAAATGTTTCTTGTATCTATTTTTATTTTTTATTATTATTATTTAGTGCTATAGCGGCAATAGAAATGCATACTCTGTGAAAATTTCAACCCTCTACCGTAGTAGGTATAGGTAGGTTCACTAGATACAGCTCTTGACAGACGGACGGACGGACAGCGGAGGCACAGTAATAGGGTTCCGTTGGCACCCTTCTGGTACGGAACCCATAAAAAGATAATATACATTAAACAACTGAATATTCAAAATGAACAGGAAAGAAACACGTAATACTAAATTTGGCGATAAATTTCACATCTGTATAAAATTAAAAGATAGCAATACATTTAATAGACAAAGGCAAAATCAATTTGTATGTAAATACTCAGGTACTGTCACGATAGCAATTATACCTACATAGCCTAGCTACATTATATGGAACGTATGTCGTATTACAGAAGGCGATTAGATAAAACCAATCTATATCGGTGTGTATGGAAAATTTTGTTCAGAAGCATTTTAATTTTACATTTTTTTTATTGGTTTCCTATTCGATGAATCGATATAAAAATGTAAAAATGACCACAGACCATAAAACAATTAGTACTGTTAAGTAAGTAGTATAAAAACTGCTATAGTGAGTTCCGAAAACAGCCACTAGAGAGAGCTAAACAGCACGAATAATTCAATAAGTATATATGTGTTTATTATTGCTAACTAAAACATTAAAAATATAAGCCACTTAGTAGATTATATATACTCATTTTTACTTTAAGGATTAACTTTATTGACTAATTTCACCCGGATAAATAGACTATGATAAGAAGAAAAAAAGTACATTTTAAATCGACTTAGCAAATATGTTTAAGCAAAAGACTGGTTACTTATATATAGTTCTGATTAATTTATCAATTACTTACCTATTGCAGAAATCGAATCGGTAATCAACTCCTTAGCAGAGTAAAACAATCTCATAGACATATAAGAAAATTCTAGCTGAGTCGAAACTGCACATTAAATATTTTTTTGGAAAATCCTAATGAAATAGATATTATTATCGATACAGACGCCGAATCTATACTTTTTTTAAATTTTGTGTCTGGAAACGCATCACGAAAAAACCACTGGACAGATTTTGATGAAATTTGATATGACGATAGCTGGTTATTCGGCTCAACATATAGGATACTTTTTATTCCGGGAAAATATCTCATCTCTGAGAAATCTATACTAAACGTTAAACCGCTAGTTACTACATGTAAGTCATTTAATGTAAATTACTATATCAAAACGCAATATGAGGACGTGTAATTTATTTTTAAATCAATCGTAAGATCTATATGTAATAAATAGCATAAGTGGCGCTGCTATTTCTGCATTAGCTTGGAATGTAGGTCGTTTTAATCTGATTCGGTGTAAAGCGTCAATTTAGTATTCAACTCGTGTGCATATACGAGTATAGTGGCTCGTAACTGTACAGGACAATGAGACTAATTATTTTATCTATACATATAATAAAATTGTAACTAAGCCGAATCTGTACATTCAATATTTTTTGGAAAATCTTATTGAAATAGACATTATTATCGACACAGTGGCCGAATCTATGGTTTTTAGAATTTTTGTCTGTCTGTCTGTCTGTCTGTTACCGCATCACAGAAAAACCACTGGAGGGATTTTGATGAAATTTGTTATGGTGATAGCTGGTTATCCGGGTCAACATATTGGATACTTTTTACAGCGGGAAAATGTCTCACTTCTGAGAAAAAATACAAAAACCGCAATGTAAGAGTATACTAATATGTAAAACCTAAGAATTTGGTTTATGGTCATCTGAACGTGGCGGAGCCGCGGGCAATGCTTGTTTTATATAAGAAACTGCATAGAAAATTAAAATCAATAATCTATATGTATATATGTTGCCTATTAACTCCAAAACACTTGTAGCAATTTCGAAGAAACATTCAGGCAATCTTCAGATTAGCCAAGCGGTTGATCCCGTGAAGATTGATAGTGATAGGAAGTTCGAACGCGGGCGAATTCGCCGGTGCTGCTAGTTAAAAATATATAGATAAAAATTTATAAATGTCCATATTGAGATTTCTGAACTTTTAATTTAAAATATGCGACATAACTTACCACTAATACTTCATTTTATAATATTTGAATAGCCCAGTAGTTATACGCAAGTAGATAAACTATGAATCAGAGTAATTTATCTTAATAAGAATATATAATATTATAGTAATGTATAATTTTATGTACCTATAAATAGATCTCTGTGCTTTATTATTCTGTGTGTCAGACTGTGACTAAGTTGCAGTCTGGAAAAAGCGGAACGCAAATTTCAATAACTTTGAGACCCTTACTAACAATTTAATATCAACCTTATTCCAAGGCATTAGAACACAGATTTGAATTACAAATTAAACTAATAAAGTACAGTGGTCTCAATGGAAGAGTAAAATAAGCAAATGGCCACTTAAAGTGTATTTATTTAAACATTCGATTTACTGTAAATACTTTCACCATTTCCGGGTTAAAGATTTTCTTTTGCTTAGCGATAAAATCTAGGCAAATTAAACTGTTAACTTGAAGTAAATTGTTGGCAATGCCTATGAGGGCATAGGAATATGTATTCAGCCTAACGTCCCACTGCTGGGCACGGGCTTCCCTTAAATTCGAGGGTATCAGGTCATATTTCACCATTCTCAGCAAGTGTGGGTTGTCGGACTGCAATCCATATCGTTGCAATGTCACAGAAGTAACGGGATACCGAGTTTCGAATGAATTAAATCTATAAAAGTCACTCATATCCTTTTACCGTCTAGAAAAGAGCTGATAGCCTGCAAACGGCTGAATAACTTTTTTAATTTATAGCTAAGAACACTTTCGATAAAGTCACCAAAAAAATAGGCGTTAATCTGATATCTACTTCGACCTATTCGTGATTAGAAGACTTAAGGCTTCTAATCGCGAATAGAGTTAAATGCAAATATTATTCAAATTAAGCCATATGGCGACCAAATTTCAACTTAGTCTGCGGTTGTCGATACTTATGCCCGAATTCACCAACGTCACCTAAGTTTAAAGGATCCCCTAAGCATGGTTAGGGGGCTGTTAGGGGACAGTTTCTGTTTCACCGACAGTTAGGGGTCACCTAAATATTAAAAGACCCCCTAAATTTAGGTGCTCGAAATATGGGCTTAAAGACGATCGTAAAACGAAATTTAATTTAGGGGCTAGTTTAGGGGACTTTTAAGCTAGGGATCCCATACGTAGGTGGTAGCTTATGCGTTGTTGGTGAAATCAGGCATTAGACTCGATGAAAGTAAGGTTAGATTAAAATATAACTTAATATCCCGAAACAGCGTGATCGGAAAGTTAAATATTTTTGAATTTTATCTTCTCGATATATTTTTTTGCAGATTTATTTCGATCTTTGATTCCCAATGCTTCCTATATTTACAGCAATAATTCGCTGAAGCCCGTGACCATGATTGCTGTAAAGCATTCGAACCTTGCATGTTTAAACTCTTTTCATTTAAAAGTCATCAACAAGTAAATTGAATTCAATTACCTTGTATACTAAAAATACATCTAATCCAGTACTAAAATAGATATGTTTATTTATAGGCTTAGATAAAAATAGCGAAGTACGATTTGCTGTAACGCAACCCTACTTTGCAACAGAGGGTATGTAAGGATTCATCTTAATTAATATTTTAGTAAATATAAACTAAATATATAAACAAAATTAAAGTTGAATATATACAAATTACCAATAAAACATGCAGGTCCATGCATTAAACTACCTACAAAAACTACAGTTTTAGTAAAAAGAAAAACATAACAGTGGAAAAATAAGAAACATAACAAAAAAAATAAAAAATCGCTTACAGTGATTCAAAAAAGTTCATCTGATCTATGGGGTTGGTACTGGCGGTGGAAGAAAACAAATAAAATTAGTGCGTCGAATAAAATAGCCCAAAATATGAAAAAAATGATAAAACCGACACCAGTGGCAAAGATCTAAATTATAAAGCTAAGCGAAATATTACATAAAAAAAAATAAAAAAAAAAACTTAAAAATTTCTTTTCGATTTATTCTATAGGTATCTAACGTATAGAAGTTAAAAAGTATAACACTATGCCTAATTTAGTACTCATTGTCAAAGTAATATTACTGTATATCAGAAAATTATTTTGTTTGCATATTTTGCCCTTTTTCGATGCATGCCCATATTTCATTGGATATTGTTAAAATATAAATAACTATGCAAATCATTCTAAAATATTTGTGTACTGACTGATATAGCATTTCATAGCAAATATATGCAAGGCTTAAAACTTCCCGAGGACGTTCTTTACACATGTATGTATAAAGCAAAGCTATCTTTGATGATAACTTATAAATATATCAGCTGATAAAACAATAAATAATATCAACGTTATAAAACAAAGAAAATCGATTAGGACATAGCTGGGTCGTGGCAATTATTATTGTCAAATACATATAAAATTGACTTTTTAAAATAATTAATATCGACTTATTGTTTTTCAATACATGTTATAATCAGTCATAATTACACTTTGAATGTGATTCATTTAAAATATACTCCTAAACCATTTCACAAGTCATCACATATTATATAAGTGCATCTGCGAGGAACTACATCAACTGTAATTGCCAATACGATCGGTCAAATCGATCATACGGTTGTGTGGAATTTTCTGTAAACACTTATGTAAATTCTGTAATTAATAAACAAAAGAAATAGATTCGTATTCTTCGCAGGTGTACAAACATATAGCAAAGCTATTTTCCTAAACTAGCACAAAAACTAAAACAGAATAGTCCAAGAGTCAACATTACCTGCGCGCTGCCCAAAAGAATCCAGCAGAGTCTACCGGCTCTAACAGACGAGGGGTGGACGAACCGAACGCGAACGCGGGCCTCGGCGCCGAGCGAGCCGCTCGCGCTCGCTCCAAGCGCTCGGTGCGATCGCGCTCGCGCTGCAACAACGCCTCTCGACGAGACACTGACGCTTCCCATATTGCACGTTTTCGTTCTTCCACCTGAGAAATAGAAAAAAAATTCTATAATATAAATAGATAACAGAAGGAACATTAGTAAATATCTCTACATAGATAGATAAAGCTTCATACAACCGCGCAACGATACAATACGACATATTGCAGTGAGGTGAGGGAATGGCGGTCCCTGTTGAGATATTTACTCATGTAGCAAAGGTCTATGAAAGAAACAAAAAAACAGGGACATATACCAACACCGCTATTTATACTAATAGATAGTTGTAAATATTTATCCCGAATTGCACTAGACAAATAAGTCGTCAACTTATATGATTAAAAATCGGACTACTATTAAAAATGTGTGTGATTTTTTATATTATGTTGTGTACATAATAATTTAATAAATATATAATAGGTAAAAATATGTTGGGACATTAACACATAGCACCATCTAGTTCTATGGTAAGCTACGAGGCTTGTATTGTGGATACCAGATAGTTGATACACATATATAACTTTTAAATAAATACATATTATAAATATAAACACCGATGACTGGAGTACAAACATTCGTGCTCATCACACAAATGAATGCCAGCGGGACTTGAACCCGCGACCGCTGGCCGTCTTGTGTATTTGTAATGTATTTATATTTGTTATTCTTTCACGATAAAACAGCTGGTTGATTTGATTTGGATGAAATTTAGCACACAGATGGACTATGACCTGAAGTAACACATAAGCTACTGTTAGAAACCCAAACGAAGCGCTAAGTCGCTAGTTACACGTATAAATTAAGTACTTGTTGTAAATCAGTGTACCTATATGTATATGACAGTGTGATAGAAGGACAAACAAATAAATACACTTTCGTATTTATGTTATAAATTAAAATTATCAAATAAATAAACACTATATAAATTGTTATTTCGCTTCCACACAAAATAATTTAGTCAAAAATAACTAACAATCTGTTATTATAATTATGTAGTAATAGATTTAATCTATACCTGGCTAACTGTGATTTTATTTATTTATATATACATATATATATATATATATATATTAGTGGTATGCTTGTTAACTTTGAACTTTCTAACGAGCATGCATTATGTCATTGCATATTGCAGAACTGTAGGTACGAGTATATAATTAAAATTAACCAAATTATTTTTACATAATGTTCCTAATTAAGTATAAATAAATCATCTCTATAAGTATTATTAACATAAATGAACCCAGTTATGCAAAAAACAGCCATGTGCGTAAAAGTACCAACAAAGTTAAAAGCATTTTATTATAAAAAATAAACAATACTTATATAAATATTGTTTAATTTTAAAATAACCAGAAAAACAAAACAACCCAAGTGCAACTATCGACAGAAAAATGCTTATAACTCTGTTGGTACTTTTACGCACATGGCTGTTTTTTGCATAACTGAGTTCAAATGTTGAAAGAGAAACAGACAAAGCCACAGGTGAGGTCTAGTTCTTAAAATCATTACCGTAAGTCTGTGGGGACAGCCATTATGTTATAAGATACGTCCTGATAGTATACGAGGTTTAGATTAGCGCAATTTTAAAATTAACTGTTACGTTGATAAAAACTCAATAACACCTGTTACGTGTTTGAGAAATAAAACACCTAATGAATATTTACAAACCAAAAGCAGTAAATAAAATTTACTAATCTATTTAACTTTTCTGAACTCCATCTTGCAATTATTTTTTTAAACCAGTTAAGAACTAAACATACGATTTGCTGTTACATAAATCGCTATTATTTTATCGAACCTTTTTTTTATAACACATAGTTTTTCCCGCAGTTCTGTTCGCGTGGTTTGGTCATCGATAATACCAATTATTATATGTTAATCCTAAATATAAGCTCTTAAAATTTCCCTCAAGTACGGTTGCAAGGTCTGGAAGTAACATACAGACAAACATTCATAATAACATAATATCAGTACTTTTATAAAGGATAATTTTAAGTAGAGTTCAGTAAGCGAAGGCGTAATAAATAGATAATCTCTTCAATACGTCCATAATGTATGAAGATGACGCCCCGCGGCTTCGACGTAAACAGCTAATCTTTTGTGTTTCACTGTATTTTAATGTTAAAATCGTTTGTTACTATCATATTAAAACATTCTAACGTATAAGTACATTTTCAGAATATGTATTTACATACGTATATATATATATATATATATTTATTTATATATATATATATTTACATACGTATATATATATATATATATATTTATTTATATATATATATATTCTGAAAAAGTATATGTTATAGTATAATTGTCTATTGCTTTACAATTAACAATACATAGTTTAGATAGATATTTTTATTAAGTGATCTAATGTGGTAAGGTAATACGATAAAACGTATTTATACTTTCGTTTTCACTTTAGCTTCAATAGTCATAATGAATTTCATTGGATAACAAAGTTATACAAAATTTTAAAGAATTTAGTTGGAAATAAACAAATATATAGCAAACTCGCATTCCCCGCGGCTCCGCCCGCGTTCAGATGACCAAAAACCAAATTCTTAGGTTTTACATATTAGTATACTCTTACATTGCATTTTTTTATTTTTTCTCAGAAATAAGATATTTTCCTGCAGTAAAAAGTATCCTATATGTTAGCCCGGATAACCAGCTATCATCATACCAAATTTCATCAAAATCCCTCCAGTGGTTTTTCCGTGATGCGGTAACAGACAGACAGACAAAAATTCTAAAAACTATATTACTATTCTGCCTCTGTATCGATAATAATGTCTATTTCAATAAGATTTTCCAAAAAAATATTTAATGTACAGATTCGGCTTAGTTACAATTTTATTATATGTATAGATAAAACAAACAAAAATGAAGGAAACCTAAGTTTAAGTGCACACTTTCACTGTCGACGCGAGCGCAAAGTGTTTAATGATTAATTACTCACGCATGCAGTAACGTCCAAGCATGAAATCAATCATTAACGAGAATAATCACTGAATGGATGTTAGGCAAAGTGGGAACTGTAAAACTAATAATAAAACTATTTTGGACGGTGACTCCTGCGGTTGATTTTTATAGCAATTCGGTTGAGCTCTCGAGTTTTAAAAGGGACAAATATACATTCTAACTAGCGACTCACCCTCGCTCCGCTCAAGTTTTGCCTTAATTACTATTTAAGGTTTAGTATAGGTTTGTCAGAAATGAGATATTTTCCCGCAATAAAAAGCATCTAATATGTTGACCCGGATAACCAGGTATCACCATACCAAATTTCATTAAATTCCGTCCAGCGGTTATCTCGTGATGCGTTCCCAATCAGACAGACAAAAATTCTTAAAACTATACAATCGGCCTCTGTATCGATAATAATGACTATTTCAATAAAAATTTCCAAAAAATACTTAACGTACAGATTCGGCTCAGTTAGAATTTTATTATAGATATAGATTTTATCTTATTTGAGAAACGTAAAAGGTAAAGTACTATATGTTAATAGTTTTGATTTACAAGAAATACCTTTATAACATTTTTAAATTAAAACAATCTCCAAACCCTGTAATTGTAAGGTTAAATGAGAATTCTTTTCCATGTCTTCACATATGTTCCCCATAAACTCGAATTAAATTATAAATAATCTGAATGGGTGGTCCGAACATCCTAACATGCCATGGTTTTAGTAAGGGAAACCTGCAGCGTGTTGGAACACTTTGCAATTCAAAGTGTTGTGAAGTGAGCGTCGATATTTTGCATTCTATTTAAATGATTAGCTCCAATATTAACCATAAAATACTCGACTTTGAGCTAAGTCTGTATATTAATAAGCTAGGAAACGATTGACTACATTAAATTATTTGTGTTCATAATTTTAACTAATAAAATATGCATCTTTAATAATATAATATGCTATGGGCCTCTGTTTACATATTTAAGATCCTTTGGTTAATATTGCCTGAAATAAATGATTAAATAAATTAAAAAAATATATTGGGTCATTAACACACAGTACCATCTAGTTCCATGGTAAGCTACGAGGCTTGTGTTCTGGATACCAGATACTTGATACACTACACATATATAACTTTAAATACATACATATTATAAATATAAACACCCATGACTGGAGTACAAACATTCGTGCTCAACGCACAAATGAATGCCCCCAGCGGGACTCGAACCCGCGACGGCTGGCACATCAAGTAGGAGCCAAACGTGTCGTGGAATTAAAACGTGTGTGAAATAAAGTAAATTTAGTCAATAATAATATAAACAATGTTATATTCTTCTGATACCTAAATGTGTAACGATTATTGAATATATAGGTACTTTTATAGTAATGCCATCGGCAAGGATCATTGTAACTGTGAATCATGCTTCAACAGTAAACATGACTTAAACAAAATTATAACCAAGTATTAAAACGACAAAGTTAATCAATGCTCACTATGAATAAAAAATATAGATACTATCTCTTTGTATTAGTTATGTAGGACTTTAGCTTTGGATCTTATGAAATAAATCTATACTATGTAATATTATAAAGAGGTAAAGTTTGTGAGTTTGTGACGTTGTAAGGGGTTATCTCTGGATCTACTGAACCGACTTAGATGAAATTTGGTAAGAAGATAGTTTGAGACCCTGGGAAGGACATAGGATACTTTTTATCCCGGAACTCATCCCTTAAGGGGGTGAAAATGGGGATGAAAGTTTGTTCGGGGAATCAAGTTAGGGACGAACCCGAACGAAGCGAGGGTGAGTCGTTAGTAATAAATACATGGATTATTGACAATAATTTATCAACAAAATTAGTAAACAGATAAAATGTAAAATGTAAAAGTAAAATATAAAATGTAAAAGTGAGATTTAAGTGGAGGCGACTAATACTGCTGAATAGGAATCCAATACTTAAAAATCATTAAAAAATCTAATTGATTCTAACATAATTGTCGTGACCATAACTTGGATTAGGAGAAATGTAAAAGATTGATTGCCATTGGGTATAAAATTATTTTTTACAAGGCAGCTT